CTACTTAAATTTATATCAAATGGCAATACTATTATTTTGATCTGAACATGTCAATGGAAATTACTAAGAGTTTGACAATAACATCTCCATGAAATTTTGTGGGCATGTGATGTGATCAAATTGAGATAATTATCAAATAATATTCTTAATAATTTACCAGCAAATGGAAGCTCTGATTAAGACATTTAAGATTATTAAAAAATGACATTATAGTAAACAATTCTTAGGCTAACAATGTGGAGATTTTGTTTGAGCACATGTTTCTTGACTCGGGATTAATTTGTGAAAAGGCTGAAGCTTGACTTTAATCAGTTTTTATATAATGTGTAATAATAGTATTTTTTTCAACATTGAAATTACCATTATATAATCATGATATTGTTGTTCACATGGCCGGCTTTTAGCAATGTTCTGAAAACCGGACCGATCATCGAACCGGTCGAGCTGCTGGTTCACTGGTCGGACCAGTGGTTGAACCGGTTGGACCGGAATTCAATATATTAATAGTTTTAAAATATATGATATATTATATATTAAATTTTATATATAAAAATATAATTAATTAAATATTTAAAATACTTAAAATATTTATAAATATTTTATAAGTATCCATTATACTTAAAATCTATGAGATTAAATATATATGAAATATATTATAAAATATTTGACATGACATAGAAAGTGGATATAAGAAACCCAATTAATATACTACAAAAATATTATTGCCTCAAAATAGTAATCACCAAATTTGTTTAACTTTTTTTAATAGAGAAGAAATATAATTATTATACTACATATATATCATTACCTCAAATATATTAATAATTTTTCTAAGCCCATTAATCCACTCATTGTAGGATAGTATTTTTTTTTTATTTCTTAAATATTGTGCTTGCTCTTAGTAAACATAAGAAGTAGAACAACTTTTTTAGAAGCCCACTAAAAGCCATCAGCTTTTTATACTAGCAATCAGTTATTAGTAATTACTTTACGGCCCACTAAGGCAACGACCAATAATTTCATCAGCTTTTAAACAATGAAATCCCACATCGGAACTACTACATAAAAATTTCCGCTATTTAATTGATTCACCAGCCATTGGTTGACTAATGAAAAAACAACAGACGAGACCGCTGGGCCGCCCCAACCGCGGCCGGTTTACTGGTTTTGCCGGTTTTTATCCGATTCAAGCGGCTCTTTACCGGTTTTGGGCGCCAGCGGGTCAATACCTCTAACCGGACCGGTATAGTGGTCGGTCTCCGATTGAACCGGTCGAACCGGCCAGTCCGGTCCAATTTTCATAACATTGATTTTTAGGGGCCTCAATTTTTTTTTTAATATTTTATATATTTGTGTTTGGTTTTGTTTATTTATACAAATAAAGGGGTAATGGCTAAATATGAACTTAGCCCATTACACACATCAAGAGGCTAATTAATGAAAGGGCCAATAGCGAAATATGTACTTTGTGTAAGAATTTGAGGCCCTAAATATTTTATTTGTTTTCTTATTATGTTCGGTCAGAACAAGTTGTGTGAGAATATAAATATTCTTTATTGTAATATAAATATTTTATTTGTTTTCTTATTATGTTCGGTCAGAACAAGTTGTGTGAGAAAATATAAATACTTTCTCCTCCTTGATGTCTTCGTGACTGCTTGAATGCAATTTACAACTTATTAAAGGTAATTTTTTCAAAGTCTAGAAAAACAAGAAAAATCGTTTTTTTTTTAATTATTTATTTATTTAATAATCTTCTTTAATTAGATTTTTTTCTTGTATGATTCTATCTACAAATAGCCTTACTACGCAAGTTCAAATCGGAAAATTCGAAAACGTAAAATTTGCCTGGGGCCTCCAAATTTCTGGAGACGGCTCTGGTTGTTCACATTAACTTTATTATTCAATTATCATATATTATTTTATTACTAGTAAAGTGCACGTGCATCGCACGTGGTGAATGTTTTGCTGATTAAATTTAGTAAAATAAATTAATTAATTTATTAAACTTATCATTGCAAGAACGAAGTAAAATATAGTACAAATGACCTTCTAATTAAATAGCATAATGATGTCCTAATATAAAAATAATGAAATAACATATTACAACCCCAAAAAAATATAGTCCCTAATGGAAAAAAAACACAATAGAACTAAAATAAGGGCTTAATGTATATTATAGATGCATTAGTTATTTTATTTAATTATGTTAGATGATTAAAAGGTGATTTTATTCCATTTTGGTTTTGACGTTTTCATAAGAAACATTCATACTCGTTGGAGCCCAATACATCAATAGTATTGCAAAATTCTTAGTTATTTAATGAATAACTTTAGCAAATCCTCTTGTTTTCCCACCAGAGGCTTCTTCTTAATTCATTTGGCAAAACGTCTACTTTATTCAGACACTTATAAATATTCTGGCCAAACATATAGTCAATCTTCACGATCGTATAATCTTTATAAGGTATTTCTACTAACAATTCATGAATATCTTTGTAAAATAATCAACTATATCATTATATTGTTGATATTTTTTTTTATCATCGTATATACTATTTTATTACTATGTTCATTTTGACAAATTGATACCTACCCCATGGAGGCATTGTCCCACGGGATGCGAATAAATTTCATCTCCAAATAAAAGTTCATTTTCCAAAATCTTGGTTACATGTACTTCTCTCGAGATGCTAAATTACTTTTTGAAATCATTACATTACTTGAAAGTATGTACTGTAGAATAATTGTACATATGTTCGAGCAAAATACACAATGAGATTGTAAATATTCCTATGAAAATGGGGATAATTTCATTCAAACATTCAAGAATGTTTTGATCAAGTTCTTTCTCAATTTTATTTATTTAGAAGACAAACGAACAATATAATCTATTGCTTGCAAATCATTGACCATCTTGGTTGTTGCAATGATTTTAGCGTTGTTTATCATAATATCTTTCACATTTATTCGAATTGCAGTACTTATGTGCCTAATAACTTCTTTAATGCTTTTATTGGCCAATTTTTTGTATCATACATACATAATGCTTCAAAAATTCAAGATAAAGATTTTTTCTTGGACAAAAAATAAAATAAAACAAAACAAAACAGTGAGACAATATTAAGAAGCATATCATTTTTTGAAATATTTGAGAACTTACATTGATTGTTTTAAAAATCCAATGACAGATTTTTCAATGGTTGAAATACGGTCCGAAAAAAAAATAACGAAAATTCAAACAAGAATAAAAAAGGTAATTGAAATCATTAAAAGGATGTTTGGATATAAAAATTCTCAAAATAATCCAAGAACGTTTAACTCATCTATTTTTTAACCCAATTTTAACTCAACCCCACTATCATCAGTACTATCAATATAATAAAATGATATCAAATAATTATTCACATCAACTTTAATTCACTATTCATCCACTCACATAATTTTAACTAACCACTTCAAGTGATTTTTCTTCTACTTTTACATCAAGTCAACTTTAATTATTTAATGTTAAAAGATTATTTTAAAAATACCCACTAACAACTAACGATATAATATTTTTCAAAATTAATCAAACCAAACTAAAAAATTCAAAAAAGACTAAAAAATTTTATATCCATTAAAATCCCAATGTAAATTAATTTGATATTTGTTGGAATAACCAATGAAATTTTCTAATGAAAGTTATACCAATATCCATTGAATTTTTTAGCTGAATACCTGCCTTCATATTTTTCATTGCAATATAACAATTTTTTTATATTCCTTCTTAAACATTAAAATATTTATGTAGTAGCTTTTGTTAGTCCATATTCTTTTTTCAGAAATCACTCATATTTTTTTCTCTAGATTTATTTATTTATTTGTTTTATCTCTAGATTACTCATTAATTTGTCTTTACATTTTTCCATATTAATTATTAAATAATGAAAATAATTACTAATTTATATAAGTAATACGATATATATTATATTCCAAAACTAATAGCAAATAGAAAGTTAAAAATTAGAATAGTCAAGTTTTTTTATTAAAAAAAAGTTCTAACCTACATGGACTAAAATGCAAATAACTATTGTCTATCACCTAAAACTTACACATATTAGTAATAAGCACAAAAAAATAATAAGCGTTTAATAACTCAACTCATTTACATCGATAAGTACACGTTTTAAAAGTTTATATTTACTTTTATTAATTATAAAATTTTTATTTACTACCTTTATCATATTTATTAGTATATTTATATATTTACATTAATATTATATGATTTTAATATATGTGTGTGTGTGTGTGTGTGTGAGTGTAAAACTTTTAGATTTGTTAAAAATGCATAAAATCAAGTATAGAACTTTTTGGGTCATATGTCGTATTATAAATCAATTAATTGTATATGTTCATATTATATTATATATCATTATAATTTTTTAATAATTTTATACTCAAATATATAATTTATAAATTCATCAATTATATTGTCGAGCCAAACTATACTGCAACATAAAATGTTTGCTCATAAAAATTTGAAAAAATACATTATTCAATGATTTTCTTATGTTAAAATGAGAAATATTATGCTTTTTTTCTTAAATACTTTTTAACTTATTGTGACTATATTAATGTGTTCAAAATGTATTTAAAATGTGAAAGATGATAAATTATGTAATAGCCCAGTTCTGTATTAATAAAAAAAATGACAGTTTTTAGTTCCAAGTTGAACTATTTCTTTTTATTAATACTGCTCGTCTTGAGTTCCGAGCCCAGGTATCAGCTATTAATTCCGGTCCATTTATTTTTTTATCAATGGATTTTATCCAGTCGGAATTAATTATTTCAGTTGACGAATAATTGAAACTGAGTATGTTTCGATAAATCGTCCAAGTCTAGCCGTGTCCGGATCCGAGTCGTTCGGTCGCGAGTATCGCGCCTAGCCAATTCTCGAGCCCTAGTAGTCTCGAGTCTTGTTCGAGCCCTAGCCGTGCTCATAGCCTTACTTAGAATATTTTTCTAAGTATGAGTCGATCATGTTATCGAGCCTAGGTCAAGTCACTCGGTCGAGAGGAACCACGCACCGAGCTCGTGCCATGGTTCGAGTCCCCGCGCCCTTAGGTACGCGCCTCACTGAGCGCAAATGCCCAAGTCATGGTTAGTATTGATGGCATATTTCCCTAAGTATTTTGGTTCCTTAGATGAACCACAAGTCAGCCCCTT